GCGCCTTCGGCCGGATGCCCATCGTGATCCACCTGGGGGACTTCCTGCAGCTGAAGCCGACGGGAGGCAAGGTGTCGCTCATCTCCAGCTTCGAGGAACTGGCGGCGGCGGGCATCAACCTCGCACCAGAGTACCAGGCAGTGATGAAGCTCTTCTGCAACACGCCGCTGTGCTTCGAGCTCCAGGCGTCCAACCGCTTCAAGGACCCGAAACTCAGGGACCTCATGGCGTTCCTGCGCAAGCCGGGGAAGCAGGTCCCGCCGGCCATCCGGGCCACGTGGAACGCCATGCAGCTGAAACCCGATGATCGTAGACTCCGGGAGGACAGGTTCCAGAACGGCCACATGATCGGGTCCTATTGGGACACCGTGGCGCGCTGGATGAACATGCGTGCCCAGCGGGACGCGGACGTCCTGAAGAAGCCTCTCTTCCTCGTGCAGGCCGCCGACAGGTCTGCCCCGACGATGAGCAGGAAGGACGCCGCCAAGATGATGAACTGTGCCAACCCGAAGAACACCGGTGGCATGCACGGACTGCTCCCGGTGCACGTGGGCATGCGGATCCGGCTCCTGGAGGCGCTGGACCTCAAGAACGGCCTCGTCAAGGATGCCGAGGGGCAGATCGTGCACATCGTCGTGGACCCTCGAGATCGGGGCGACGTCGACAAGGCCGAGAGAGACGGGGAGAAGAGGATCTATCTAAAGCACTTGCCGCTGGGGTTCTGGGTGCGCATGGAGAAGTACGCGAGCGCGCCCTTCGTGGATGACCTCGAGCGCCACGACGAGAGCCTCACGGGGGACCTCACGGGCCCGCTGGTGTTCATCGAGCCCCGCACGTCGGAGCCGTTCACCTTCCGCACCTCCAAGGTCACCCGGACGGGCTTCCCGTTCTCGCACGGCAGGGTCATCACCACGGCGGCGTGCCAGGGGCGCACCATGCGAGAAGGCGACGGGGCGGAGGAACGGCGCTCCGGGGACGGCCAGACCTCCGAGGCGCGAGCAGTCCGCAGCCATCCTTCGGTCTTGTGGACTCTCGCCCTGGGCCGTCGGCTGCCCGGCGCACTGCTCCCTCGGCCGACGTCGCCCAGGCGTGATCCTGGACTGCGGCCGCCACGAGGTCGGGAACGGCAAGAAGGAGGACGACGACTGGTGGCTGGAGCTCTACGCGCTGCTCTCGCGCGCCACGCGCCACGAGGACCTCCTGCTCATGCGGGCGCCGCGCATCGAGTTCTTCCTGGCCGGGCCGCCGGAGGGCTTGCGTAAGCAGCTGGAGCAGTTTGCGGCGCGCACGAAGCGGTGCAGGAGGGAGGCGACGGCCCTCGCCAGGGAGCTCGGCTTCACAGAGTTTATCCGCGAGGCCTGACCTGAGGAGCGGCCCGCCCCAGCCGCGCCTTCTCTTGGCTGTCCGACTGCTTGGCCTCGCGCCGCGGACGACTCGCGCGCGTCGCTTTGACCCTCTCGGGGCGATCAGCGCGCGTCGCGCAAACTCCGCATTGCGCTCTGCCCAGCGCCTCGCCCGCCCCTCGTCGCTCTGCCTGGCGGCCAGAGCCATGCGCGCTACGAGTCAGCCAGCAATCACTCTCTGATCCGCTCAGCGGACGAACCGCGCGCGTCACTGCGACCCCTTCGGGGCGACCTGCGCGCGTCGCGGGGGCTCCGCCTTGCGCTGCGCCCGCAGCCTTGGTCTTTGGAGTGCGCGGGCAAAGGAGATGGAAAAAATGAGGGGAGGAAGCGAGCGCGATCCTCGTGTGTGGCGTGCCGACATGGGCGTCGCGGCGCGCGGGCGCTGCCGTCGGGGTTCCCAGGGAAGCCCCCTGCAGAGGCGACGCTCAGAGTCACGAGTACCGAGAGTCACGCAGACCCAAACTGTTCACAGTCGTATACATACATTTACACTGGGCGTATCCATGCACGCATTCATGCGAATAGAATCAATCGCGCGCAGATTCATTCATAATCAGACTCGCTCGCGATCCGACTCGCACGCGCTCAAGCTTTCATATTCGGACCTATCGTCTTCGTTCGTGTTGTGTACACTGCCACGCATTTCGGCACACCCCTGATACGGCTCGTGGCCCCATAGGGAGCGCCACCGAAGAAGATATTCACAATTGCGGTACTCTCAACTGCATATGGTTGGGTCCTTCGCCAGTCTAATTTCAGTAGTTCTGAGTAAAGAGTGCACAGTCTCTGACGGAGTCCAGGCTTTGTCAGTCGTGGACACAAAGTCCATGTTTGATGCGTTATCGAAGAATTCTGCTGGTTCGAGAGCTGACAGGAGAAACGCAATTGAATTAGCCGTTGTGCGTGACAGTCTCACTGCGGTGGGATCCCAAGTCCGTTGGGCCCCCCACGGCACGTTGGCTGCCGATGATTTAACTAAGGCGGATTCAGGCCGATTTGCTTTGCGATTGAACCGATTTGCTTTCCAAAGGAACCATGGTTCTTGTGGACGAGGAAGGCGATCTCTCGGAGAGATCCCTTACTAATTCTTTCAAGTCGCGTTCGCGCAGTGCCTCTAGGCAAGCCCTCCTGAAGGCCAATTTTGACGAGATGGGACCAGAAGAGGGTGAGTTCGGGGGGCGAAGGAGCGACTTCTTGGCTATGTCAGACCCACTCAAAGTAATCCCACTGTTCCCGTTGTCCTTTTTTTTCTCTCTATGTGTCTGTCACAGCCTTGTAGGCTCTCAGCCCGTCATGGACGGGCCCAGGTGATTTGCGGTTAGTTGAGGCGTTCGCCCAGAAAGGGACATGCCCCCCCTTCACGGGACTCCACAAACAAGCGGTTTTAGACAGCAATTGCGAGAGTGAGTGGCCTTGTTTGCGCTGCTGCTCTGGAGCCCGGGCCCGCGCCAACTGCAGACACATGCCGTGTCAGGGCCGCCTACAATCCGACTCGATGCGATTGGATTCGCCGGCTGGGCCCGCGATTCCGATTCGGTTCGATTCACCGGCACCGGCCAGGACCGTCCACAGCTGGGCACGGCGATCCGAGTTCGATTCGATTCGGGACGATCCGCTGGTGATCCGATCCGTTTCCGATCCGATCCAGCTCGGGACCCCCGGTGTAAAAGATTCAAAGGTTGCACATTTTGGCCAGCAGCTCCACCAGTCATCGAGGGGTGCGCACATTCTAGGCCTCCTAGATAGGGTCCGAGTAGATGGGGTCGGAGGATCGCGCCGCATCGCCGATGCATCGGCGATACATCGGCGATGCGGCTCGATGTGGAGCCCGATTTTCTCCACGCCAGCGGCGCCAATGCATCGCTGGTACATCGCCGATTCGTCGCTGGTGCATCGCAGATGCTTCGCCGATGAATCGGCTATATGGTGCAATTCTTTGACCCCATCTACTCCGACCCCATCTAGGAGGCCTCTACACATGAAAGCCCTCGCGACGTGACCCCCGAAAAACAATGGGAAAATGTGGCACGTGGGAGGGAGGACGAAAACCCAGAAAATACTGGAAAATGTGGGGAATCCTGGGACGTGTGTCTATTTATTTGTGTGTGTGTGTGTGTCCCTGGGCCCCTTCAGCGCGGCGCGCACATGAAAGCCCTCGCTACAGCGTGGGGAGCACGGCCTTGAAGGTGTCCGGCACCGGGGGGCCAGGTCGAGAGACCACGGCGGCTCACGCCAGCGCCTGGCGTACTGCCCGTGGGGCTCCCGGCGGCTGCTCGTCACCACGGCTGGAGCCGCCCCAAAAGACGCGTCACGATGGATCTTGCTCCTCCTCCTCGTCCTCCTCCTCCCCCTCCTCCTCCTCCTCCTCCTCCTCCTCCTCCTCCTCCTCCTCCTCCTCCTCCTCTTCCTCCTCTTCCTCCTCCTCCTCCTCCTCCTCCTCCTCCTCCTCCTCCTCCTCCTCCTCCTCCTCCTCCTCCTCACTGATGCTGATGCAGGAGAGGTCCAGGGACCGATGTTGGGCGAATTCGGGCTAGGCGGGAAAGCCGCCGCTGTCTCACTTGGCTTTCCTCCGACAAGGATGTTTTGAACGATCGGGTCGGGCTCGGGCTTTCGACGGAACGTTCGGGACTGGGAAGAGCCGCGGATGACTCGGGCTGCGGAGGACTCGGGCCGCGGATGACTCGGGCGCGGATGATTGGGAGGGGTCGATGTTACCCCCGCGAGCCAGTCCCCCCCTATCATTGCCCCCCCCCCCCAGTGCTGCGCAAGTGCAGCATGCGCCGTCGAGACCTCGGCGGCCCTCCCTTGTTCTTTTTCGCACGTCTTGGAGCTCCGGGAGGCTTCTCGTCGCCGCGGCTGGTGCCGCGTCGGAAGACTCGTCAGGATGGATCCTGGGAGGGGTCCTGGGAACGAGTTGGAGCAGGTTTGGGCTGGGCGGGAGAGCCGCCGCCGTTGTCTCACCTGGCCTTCCTCCGACAAACATGTTTTGAGCGATCGGGTCGGGCTCGGGCTTCCGACGGAACGTTCGGGACTGGGAAGAGCCGCGGATGACTCGGGCGCGCCCCGGGACCCCAGGATCCGACTTGAGCTGTGGCAGCAAGGCACAAGCCAGCCTGCGGGGACGAACGAAGCATCCGATGTGTTCGAGAGCTTGGTCTTCCATGGTTATGCACAGACGGTTCCGGAGGCCCGAACACGTTCTCCACCCTAGCAACGGGCGGGCATGTACTTCGAACGTGTGCACACGTGTCGCCTGCAGCGGCCTGGTGTTAGGTTTTGATGACGGGCTCGTGTTGGGCATGTGCGTGCGTTTCGGAACTGATGGAAGGCATTCCAGAAAGGGCCTCGCCTTCGAGGATCGAAGGAGTTGTCGTCTCTTCCTCGGCGACGCAGGGCCGCGGAAGTAAGACGAGGACGCTTCGGCCAGCGGAAGCCGGCGGAAGGCCAGCGGAAGGCGACGGAGGAAAAAAATGTGTCCCCAAAAGATGACAACATTTCTGGGTTCAGGGGTTCTGGAACCCGCCATGTGCTGCAAGGAAGGCGCAGCAGGAGACACAGCATTGCAGCGGAACGGAACGGAGCAGCCGCCCTCCCGAGGCCGCCTTTGCGAAGGGGATGTCCTCGCCGATGAAGTTGAGGATATGAGGCCCCGACAGCTTATGCAGCAGTCTTGCAGGCGTGTGGTTCGTATGCGTGTCCCCACGCGCGCTTGCGCTTCCCCACGCGCGCAGGAGCGCCGGCATCCCCCAGAGCGGGCTAGTATGTCGCCGCTGAGTAGTTCCACGCCCCGCGCCCGTGTCGGCTTCCTTGCCATCTCCGCTCAGGACAGGTGGTACGTGCACACTGCCCAACCAGTGCTGGTACCAAGGGGTTCTTGCTCATATCTCTTCGTGATTGGCTGGGTCTGCCAGGGTTTCGCCAGGTGGCGCCCGTGGGCGCCTCGTCGGCGCCTTGTGTGGGTGGGTATGCTGGTGCTTCGCCCAGTCGGCGCCCGAGGGCGCTTCGCGGGAGCCTCGCGAGGGTCTGTCCGGGTTTCGCCCGCTGGGCGCCCGTGTGCGCTTCGCGGGTGCTTCGCGCTCTCCCTGGCGCTGTTCCCCAGACAGTGCATGCACGATCTGGGGTTCTCACCTGTCTTGCACCGCAGAGGTTGCACCGCATAGTCTGCACCTCGAAGCTTGCACGACATGGTCTACCATAATTCAGTGTCTGTGGTCCACGCTGGCAAACGCAATTTTGCCCACTGATATTTGGAGGGAGGATGTTTTCGGGCATATGGCAGCCTCTTTGCATCCCTGATTCGTCCTGTCCCTGATGGCTAGGGGTCCCGTCATCGCCCCAGGGCCGGGAGGAGTCAGAGACGAGCGGTAGTGTTGGCAGGTTGAGTCGAAAACCGCCCGAGGCCGTGACGGACAGAGTCGGAAGCTCGCCAGAGCAGAGCCAGAGGAGGAGGGCAGAAAACGATGGAGAGGGCGGAGGGGAAGGGGAGGACAAGGAGGACGGAGGAGGGAGACGTGGAGCCACCCTTCCGGAGAGGGTAGAGCCGCAGACGCGCCGAGGCCTGCGCGAGCGGAGTCCGAAGGCGTGCAGAGCCACGGGCTTCATCCGTCCGCCCTCGCCCTCCTCACCCGCGGGGCGCCGTCGTGGTCGCCCACGCGGTCGGCGGCGACGGCGGGCGCACTTCGTCGCTTGGCACCGCTGCGCCGATGCAGTCAACAAAGGGGGGCAGGTTGCGGATCGGTGCCTGCGCTTCCTGGCCTCCAGGGGGCCTCCAAGAATCCTGCGGGAGACCCCCGGTGGCCTCCCAGGACCCAGGCAACAGCTCGAGAAGCTTGAAGTCCCCATGAGTTACACGGATGGGGGGCGGGTGGTGTTCGAAAAGGGGTTCTCGCCGTGGCGCCGCGCACATTCGTGCGAAAGCGTCCAAGCTGATACACGGGTGTAGGCAGATTTGTCTTCGAGATTGGGTTCACGCCTTGGCGCCGCGCTGATCGGTTTTTCTCCATTCCGTTACAGTTTCACGGGTGGAGGTTGAAGTTTTGTTCAAAATCGGATTGTTGTTTCGACGCCGCGCACACTCGTGTTAACAATCTCCAAATGCTACGCGGATGGAGGGTTGGTGGTGTTCCAAATGGGTTTCTCGCCCTGGCGTTACGAACATTCGCCTTGAAATCCAGAAGCTACACGGATGAAGGACTCATGGTTGTCAGCAGTGGGTCCGCGTGTCGGTGCCGCAAGCATTCTTCTTCCATATTTCCAAAAGTTACACGGGTGGACGGCGGTACTTTTTCAAAAGGTGGTTATGGTTTTAGATGTCTTCGGCATGTGCATATACCCGTGCGCATTGGTTACACGGTGTGAGGGTAGCGCTTTTTCACGCGTGGGTTCTCTCGCTTCGGATTGATTGGTGGCGGTCCATCTTCAAAGAAGGGTTGTCGTTGGGCATCTTGTCGCATTCTTGTTCGCTCGAAGGATGTGACATGTTCTTTCAACACGATGTTCCCGCCTGAATTGTGAGACTCTGAATCGTTTTCTTTCGCATTGTGACAAAGGATAGGTATGGGGACTAGTGAGGAGGGGAACCCTTGGGCGGGAGGGTGTATTGCAGCATCGTGGATACATTTGTGGTTTACGCTGGTCCTCCTTCTCCTCCTCCTCTTCCTCCTCCTCTTCCTCTGGAGGAAGGCCATGTTCGCCGAGCTTGCAGGCATGAGCGAGGGAAGAGGAAGACAGGCGCGTATCCTTCCTCCGTATCATCACCCGTCCTTCCCAGACATCATCAGCATAATCAGCATCAGCATCATCATCATCAACAGCATCAGCAGCAGCGCATCATCATCGTCGTCAGCATCATCATCATCAGCAGAATCAGAATCAGCATCAGGATCATCATCAGCATCATCGACATCATCACCATCATCAGCATCACCATCATCAGCATCACCATCAACATCATCAGCATCGCCATCGTCATCGTCAGCACCATCACGCTTAGCATCATCATCCGCATCAACATCATCAGCAGCAGCATCATCACCGTCGTCATAGTCACCATCAGCAGCATAATCAGCAGCATCATCACCATCACCCGTCCTCCACACACATTAGCACGATGATCATCAGCATCATTATAAACAGCATCAGCATCGACGCCAACATTCTCACCATCATCATCAGCATCATCAGTACCATCTTCATCAGCATCATCAGCGCTGTCGGCATCATCATCATCGGCAGCATCATCATGAGTATGAGCATCAGCAGCATCATCATCAGCAGCAGCATCATCATTCCCCTCCTCGTCCATCTTCTCCTCCTCGTCCTCCTCCTCCTGCTCAGCATCATCATCATCAGCATCATCATCAGCAGCAGCTAGTTTGGCTCAAGCGGCGGCATGGGCTGGGGCTCGCAGCTGCCATTTGTTTCACGACTCTGCCGGATAGTGCTAACAGTCGATGGGCTCGCGCAGTCGCTCGCGCGAGCCAGTGCCCGCAGCACCCATGGACGGTCATACGATGATGGCCCACTTCAGGGAGATGCTGCGCTCCGAGATCAAGGAGCCGATGGCCAGGGACTTCGCGGATGCGAAGACGTCCATCGACAATGTGCGCAGGGACGTCGATAGGCACGAGGGCCGTCTCAACAACATGGAGCAGGAGATCAAAGACCTACGAGAGCGCTCTGTGGCACCCTCATCCACGGCAGCTTCCTCGGTCGGGCCTCCGCTGCGCTTACCGGGGCTCGAGAGCGCGGCACAGTCGGTCCCGTCGGGGCCAAAGAAGGCGAGCGACAAGATTTGCGTGACCATCGGCGGCTGGGATCGGGGCACTCCCCGCGACACCATCCTGAACGAAGCTCGCGCGTTCACCGACACGATTCCCGACAAAGCAGAGGAGGGTGTGTTCGTCCCACTCAAGCGTGCCAGCTTCCTGAAGGTCCGTTTCACGAGCTCAGGACGCATGTGGGCCTGGGTACGCTCTATGAAAGGGAAGCAGATTACTATGCCGCAGCCACATCACCTGGGTCGACGATCTTGGTTCTCTGTGGAGAAGTCATCGGAGGAGGTTCGGCTCTCAATGATGATCACGCGCGCGAAGAAGGAGATGATAGACAACCTAGGCGCGCAGAGGCCGGCCTGGAGCTGGACTACATTCGAGGCACTGTCTGGTGGAAGCAACACAGGTTCGGCGAGATGGTGAGGACCACGGGCCTCATGAGTTTCAAGGAGCACGCCGCGGCCGAGATCAGCGCCCACACGGGAGTGAACCTGAACTTGGTCGAGTTCCAGGCAAAGGTCAATGCGGGCCAGCGACTGGACAAGGAGCGGACTCTAGAGGAGTCCGAGGAACAGATGGATGAACTTCAAGCTGACCAGCTGGAACGCTCAGGGAATTGCAAAGCACAACTCCAGCTTGATGGCCGAGTGGTTGGACTGCGCGCTGTCGGTGATCTTCTTGAGCGCGGTGATGACCTTCCAGATGTCGCGAGCAGGTATCAGGACATAGTCGATCTGGGCTGGCGGGCGCTTGAAATCGCAGTGGCCGGCGGGTCCGCTGGCCGCCGCAGTGAACGTGTTCGTCGCCGCAAGGTCGTGCTGCATCAAAAGCCTCGTCAAAATTTCGGCGCGACGAGTGCGCGGATCGAGTGGGAAGTCCCCAGTCCAGCGCTCCTCGCCCGCCTGCGGGGGAGGCAGAGACCTTCTGCGCGCCCGCGCCCGCGATCGGATGCGCCCCAGGCGGCGCCATCATGATCAGGTCGGAAAGTTCCCCCATAGAGTCCTCGTGCTGGCTGATAGAGCGTCCTGGCAAAAGGTGACTGCATATGATCGAGTAGTCCTTCTTGCGAATGCGAAATAGACGCGCCGCCGAAAGCCCCCACGGCAGCAAATCCCCTCGTAGAAAAAGTCGAGCCCGAGAGCGCACCAGCAGCCCCATCTGCTTCTGCCCCTCGACCCGCGGCGTGACCAGGTAGAGGTCGTCCTCGCCGACCCCTAGCTTCGTGGTCTTGCCCCAATAGCCCACCTCCTGGAGGATGGCCACATCGCAGTCGCGTTGCTCGCGCAGCGTCGCCGCGCAGAACTCGGCGTTCACCCTCGGTACCAGGAGGCGCTACGTCTGGAACGGAGGTCGCGCGCCTATGAAAGGCTAGACCTGCCTCGACAACCGCTTTCAGCGCTGGAGCTACAGCGCCTGCTGCGCCGACGGCAACCCAGCGCCAATTATCTCTATGACGGGCGCAGTGCACCTGGCTGCCGCCGCCTGTGGAAGGGGCCCGCCAGCGCGGAAGATCCCCAAGCCCCCCGAGAGCGACGAGCTCACGCAGACGCTGCGGATGCTGGAGGCGCGTCGGCGAGTCACCCGCGACCACGTACAGCGCGCGATCTACAGCAAGGACACCATCAGGATTCGCGGGAAGATCTGGGCCGCGAACACGGCCCTGCAGGACGGCTTACACGAGGCCGGCAATCCTCGAGCACGAGCAGACCGCCGAGCTCAGCCCGGGCCAGCCCGCAACCAGCTGATGAACACGGAGAGGGGGATCGAGGACGACCCGCCGCGGATCAAGGAGCTTCTGGAGCGCGAGCACGGCAACGCCTTCAGGGCCAGCGACGGGGAGGAGCCTGTCGGGGTCTCTGCCCACCTCGCCCA